CAGCTGGGTCTGAGGAAGCAGACCATGGCACATATTACAAATATCTCCCTATCATCTTCAACTTTCGATATTTTGCATGATCTGGCGATTGTTATTGCTGCTTGTATTAGTTATGCTATGAAGGGAGTAGGCATGGGGTGTCCACAGAAGTGTAAATGTGAATATGAATACAACCATGTATTTTATATGCTTTTTATTATGAATGTTACCTTTTAATTGTTGATGATAAATGAGACAATGAGAACTGTATGTATAATCCCTTTTCACTTTCATTTTTTGTTATCACACTTTGGACACCTGAAAACTCCTTACAAGTAGTAACTTTAGACTCCTCTCAATACACCTCTTAGTTTAATTCTAATGTTAAATGGTGTTTCATAAGCTATGTAGAAAGTCCTAACTAACCAATAAATCAAATTATTATTTTGTCCATGTATAAAGAAATCATTCAGATTCATTTTAGGACTGGAATATCTCTTCAGTTGGTGATTAACATTCCCAAGTATTCTTTATAACATATCCAAACTGTCACTAGAAGGATAGGAAAGACAACTAAGTTAAGCGCAGTAACACATAGCAACCAATCAGAATTCATTTTGTACAGATCTTATTTCAGCAGAGTAAATGCTGATTGGTTGCAATGGATTACTGAAGTATTACAAAAGATTTAGGATGTAGGAATAGGAACTAAATTGAAAGTATCTAGTGGAAGGTCAGTTTTGCCATATATTCATTTGTATGTACAGACACACAGACATGGTTATCTTTAATTACAGGGCTGCCACAATTAGCAAGGCTGCAGCACTGTGAAGTGGTTCAGACATGCATGTTAGGGCTGTAGTAATATTTCACAATTTAAGGAAAAAGCAAATATTAATTGCCCCCTTGCAGTATTGTCAGATCATAGATTTGATAAAATATGTAATGCTGTTGAACATTGAAGCTCAACTCCTGTACTGAAATTGCTTAGCCTGATTGAACTGCACTTTGTCAGCTCCTCACATTGTGCATTAGAAGCTGCAGTAAATCAGATAATATGTCCAGCATCATGTAGTCTTTTTTCCCCTAGCTTTACCGTTCCTTGCCTGCTCCTTTCATTAATAGGATTACAGGTTTTTTTAAGCATGGAGGCTCAGCATTACATGTGGGCATTACCTAGGGCCATCTGCATACAAACACATTCTGCCTAGGAACACTTACTCTTTCAGACTGACATCCACCCATCAAGACATTTTTATATTTGCATTGCAATCACACCAAAGAGACAGCTGTAATATTAGAGCTATTGAGAGGAGTATTAAGGCAGGGTGCTGTGATGTTTTCAGGAAGCTATATACAGCATCTTGCTGGCCCCTCCCATCATGCATTATCTGCCTTTGTTGCATAGATAAGCACATACTAATATAAAGGTTTTTTTGTTTTTTTAAACAAAATTGTTAAAAGCATGTTTATGCGGGGAGAGAGGAGGAGCCAAAGAAGGCAAAATATAAGGAGGCTTTAATGTAGTTTAGCAATTTTGTGTGGTAGCTTACCAACCAATGGAGCCTTGATAATGTCCTTTTTGTCGAGTGGCATAAATAACTAACAGTCCTAAATTCAAACCATTTGGGAAGCATTTGAGAGGTTATTTGAGAGGTGTATTACAATAGGTCTGTTTATTGTAACATTGAGATCTCCAAATGCTTTTACTCTGGCTCACATGGGTCAGCATTAGGTCTTCAGCAGCTCTGAACTGTATATGACCATATCAGAAACGTCTTCATTCACTTTTGGCTAATTACCCTGTTGATGTGAATGCCAAACATTCATTAAGGCTTTCTGATTACTTAAGCATATGATTTATACTGTATATGTATTTATTATAAAAACTGATTTAGTAATTTTGTAAAGTTTTCCATGCCTGTGCATACA